TCGATGACCTCTCGAGGTCCCTTCCAGTCCTAGAATCTATGAATCTAAGTGTAGCAGCCAGGCAGACAACTGGTGCACACTGCATTGCAAAATAGTGGGCTACATATGGGAAGGGGAAACACTGGTCCAGAACACCCATCAAACCCCACAGCAGACAAGTCTTTGGTTTTTAAAATACCATTGGACAAATCCCCACACAGTAAACTCTGGGAAGGATGGTCTTATGGTTAAGGCATGACTAGACCACAACTCAGGAGATCTAGTTTGAATTTATGGCTCTGCCATTAACTTTCCATGTGAACCCTGGACAAGAGAACTTCCTCTTCCCCTACCCTTTGTCTGGTCTAATATGAAACTATTTGGGGCAAGGACTGTATCTCTCTGGTGCCTGCCTAGCACAATGTGGCTCCAATCTGGCACTACTGGAATACAGCTACTACTTATAAAAATAACTACCGTTTATCTACCTGGGAAGGGTGAAGGCTGATTCGATCTCACTGGGATTTGAACCTGGGATTCTAGAGTTTAGATATTTTAAATGTGACACAGACCATTAAACCATCCACTCTTTTCCTTGCAGAGTTTGGTTTTGATCCCAGATTCTTCCAAATCCCTCAAGTAACATGGTGGGAAACAATCAAGCCCATAGAACTGAATGTGGGGCTCTGATCTTCACTGACACAGTGACTCCGATACCCAGCATCAGCAAAGCTCCCTTCAACAGCAGAGCTTCTCAACAGAGAGGTACGTTGTATATAACTTTAATATAACCCAGGCTTTTCTTGATGAAATCTTACAACATGCAAATTAAGATATTTTTAGGAAGTCCATCTAGCCCGACGTGCATATAGGACACACGACAACCCAAGTCTAGTACAAAACTAGAGTTTCAGCAATCCTGCATTATTTATTTCAGAAAAATGAAATGCACTTGTTTTCATGAATAAAATATGCATACCATTTGGTAAACACACAAAAAATCAAATGCCTAAATTCCTGAAAAACAGCTCTTTGTCCTGTAGAGAGAACACTATAGAGTCATGCCTACCTGTCCAGGTTGGAATTGCCAGTGGAGTAGTCCTTTGATGTGGACCTGCTACCATAAAAGGAGGATGATTGTAGAGGCAAAACCCCTTGAAGAGCAATAGAAAAAACATTTGTCATGTATTCCAGCTAGCTCAGCTATGTATATTGTACTTGAGGATGGTAAATGACTATACTTAATATGTAAAGGATTTAAAAACCTTTTCAACAAGTAATTTTTTTTCAGAGTTGTGTAATGAAGAAAGTACTAGCTCTAAATACTAAGTGCATGTAGTTTTTTCATATAAGCTAAAGGCTGGCTTGATACCTCCACCCTGAAATTCTGATTTGCTTATTTGAAAAAGGCTGTTAAAATGTGGAACCAACAACTGAAACAATGGAATGTGTATGTGTCAGTTGTTCAAACATGAAAAATACATACACACAAACCCTTCTTAGCTATGATTTCCAATGCAGTGTACACAAAATTCAAAACAAATACCTTGTACTGAAAATTAAGTTTCTTTTCCTATTCTCCATTTCATAGTAAATTAATGTACATTTGTGGGCAAAACATGAAGTATTTCAAATGAGATGTATTCTGACACCCCAGTGATTCAAATTATAAATGTTGCCATGTAAAACCATAATTTCACAAGATTCAAGCATGTCTATTAAGTGGACAGAGAATTATTGTTCACTTTCATCCTGGCTTTGGGATGGAAGATGCAAAGTTCAGGCCAACTGTACAGCCTGAAGGAAGTTTACTGCTGCCACCTGTACTTGCAGATAAACAGAGAACTTCTGTTTCTAATTCTAAAGTCCTTTTAAAATCTTTTTTAAAGACTTCACTTATTAGTTCAGCATCAACCTTACTTGTTTGACTAGCAAAATAATTGTAGTCTGAGCTATACCAAAATAAAGTGTATTCACATTTTTAAATCTGCACCAGCCAATGTTTCTCACAAAGGCAGAATCTAGATTACATTCCCCTTTGTGAACAAGGTGCTCAGCGTTTAGAATTACAATAAACTATATCCTTGAATAGTCAAGGAGCTGACTGAGGAGATATCTGAGCCATTCCATGAGTTTTCTAAGATAATCATTAAGATGGGCAAATACAGAACCAATCTATAAAAAGAGGAATAAGGACAACCAGAGGAATTACAGACCAGTCAGTTTAACTTCAGTATCCAGAAAGATAATGGAGCAAATAATCAAGTAATCAATTTGCAAATACCTAGACGATAATAAGATAAGTAACAGTCAGCATGGATTTCTTAAGAACAAATGATGTCAAAGCAACCTAATAGCTTTCTTTGATGGGGTAACAAGCCTTATGGATAGAGGGGAAGCAGTAGATGTGGAATATCTTGACTTTAGTAAGATATTCCACTTAATATCTTACTGCCCCGCATAACTTCCTCATAGACAAACTAGGGAAATACAGCCTAGATGAAGCTACTATAATGTGAGTGCATACCCAGAGAGTAGTTATCAGTGGCTCACAGTCAAGCTGGAAAGACATATCTAGTGGGGTCCTGTAGGGATTGGTACTGGGTCCAGTTCTGTTCAAAATCTTCATAAATGATTTAGATAATGGCACTGAGAGTACACTTATAAAGTTTGTGGATAATGCCAAGCTGGGAGGGGTTGCAAGTGCTTTGGAGAATAGGATTTAAATTCAAAATGATCTGGGCAAACTGGAGAAATGGCCTGAAGCAAACAGGATGAAATTCAAAGTCATCAGCAATCCCTCGAGGATGATCTCTTTCACAGGTTTTATTTTTCAAGGATTCTTTGGTGACTGAGGAGTCCGACCCTTGAGCCACAGGCTTGTTGGCAGACATTGCAGGTGGTGTGAGAAGACAGGGTTGGGCCACGACTGCTGTGTGACAGTTGTCTTTCCTTTCTTTTCTGGTGTTTCTCTGCAACTAGGGCAAGGCGATTTTCCTCAAAAAAGGACGTTCCCGCTCTGACAAGTCTTCGCCAATTATCCCTATCCTGGGCTGCTGTACTCCATTTAGGAAGGAACCATCAATTGCACACATACAAAATGGGCAATGACTGCCTAGGAAGGAGTACTGCGGAAAGGGATCTGGGGGTTATAGTGGATCACAAGCTAAATATGAGTCAACAGTGTAACACTGTTGCAAAAAAAAAGTAAATAGCATTCTGGGATGTGTCAACAGGAGTGTTGTAAGCAAGACAAGTAGTAATTTTTTCACTCTACTCCACACTGATAAGATCTCAACTGGAGTATTGTGTCCAATTCTGAGCACTGCCTTTCAGGAAAGATATGGACAAATTGGAGAAAGGCCAGAGGAAGAGGAACAAAAATCATTAAAGGTCTAGAAAACATGGCCTATGAGGAAAGATTGAAAAAATTGGGTTTGTTTAGTCTGCAGAAGAGAAGACTGGAGGGAGGAGGACCTAACAGTTTTCAAGTACATAAAATGTTGTTACAAGGAGGAGGGTGAAAAATTGTTCTCACTAACCTCTGAGGATAGGACAAGAAGCAATGGGCTTAAATTGCAGCAAGGGAAAAACTTCCCAACTGTCAGGGTAGTCAGGCACTGAACAAATTGCCTAGTGAGATTGTGGAATCTCTGTCGCCAGAAGTTTTTTTAAGAACAGATTAGACAAACACCTGTCAGGAATGGGCTAGTTATTACTTAGTCATGCCTTGCGTGCAGGGGACTGGATTAGATGACCTACTGAAGTCCATCCAGTCCTACAAATCCATGATTCTAAGAAAAGAATTGCATTAGAGTCCGTGCCTGCCACTTACCTATCTTGACTTGGCAGGACTATTTATTATGACCTCTCAAGGTCCCCTCCCAGCCCTACATTTCTATGATTTCATTAATAATAATAATAATAAGAAGAAGAATTTCTATTACCATAAAGCCTTAGAGCCCTAGTCATGGATCAGGAGCCCATTGTGTTAGGTGTTGTATGGACAGACTAAAAGACCATTCTTGCCCCCCAAAGACCTTCCAGTCTAAGTACAAGACAAGAAACAACAGGTGGATAGCACAAGGAATCAATGAGGCCTGGTCTACACTACCGCGGTAAATCGATCTAAGCTACGCTACTCCAGTTACGTGAATAACAGTACTGAAGTCGATGTAGCTAGATCCACTTACCGCGGTGTCTACACTGTGCTGTGTCAATGGGAGATGCTCTCCCGCTGACTTACCTTACGCTTCTCGGGAAGGTGGAGTATAGAAATCGACGGGAGAGCGCTCTCCTATCGATTTAGCACATCTTCACCAGACGTGCTAAATCGATGCCACTGCATCAATTGCAGCAGTGCCAATTTAGCTCCGTAGTGAAGACATTCCCTGAGATAATATTTGTCAAAAAAATAGATCAGTGCTCTTCATTATTTTTTTAAGAGGGGGCCACTTTGGCAAAAAACCTTCAATGTGAGAGCCACATCAACCCGACACAGGCGGTTGAACATTCTGAGTTCTTTGTTGGTCGATATGGTAATATTGCCGTTATTGGTAATATTACTTGGGGTGCAGGAAGGGGTATGGGGGGCTGGCTCTGGGAGGGGGCTCAGGGCTGGGGCAAGGGCTTGGGGTGCAGGAGGGGTTATTGGGGGCTGGCTCTCGGAGGCTACAGGTTCGGTGGCGGAAGAGCTATTCAGAACCTGCCCATTGAAGTGGCAGCACTTACTTCGGGGGGCCCCAGCCCCATGCCACTCTTGGAAGGGGCCAACGCACCCCTGCGGCCCATGTGGCTCTGGGGGCTGCCCTCTCTGCAAGCACCATCCCCTCAACTCCCATTGGCCACAGTTCCCTGTTCCCGACCAATGGGAGCTGTGGGGGCGGTGCTTGCAGGCAGGAACAGCATGCTGAGACCTCTGTTCCCCCACTTTCCTCGCGGGGGCGTAATGACCACTTCCAGGAGCGGCAGGGAGCCTGCCTTAGCTACAGCCCCACTGTGCTGCCAGAGAGCGATCGACAGGGAGCCACACTTAGGGCTCATGGGAGCCGCCACTGGCTTACAGGCCTTGCAGTGAAGAACACTGAAATAAATAGTGGTCCCAGCATACCAGTGCCCTAAACATTGCAAGTTTTTTGTAGGCATCATGGCAAATGAAAGCTAGGGAGGGATTTGAAGGAGAGTAATGAATGTGTGCGGCAGATGTTCCTGGGTAGCTCCTCCCAAGAATGAGGGGTAACGTGGAAGAAAGCAAAAAGGTGCTTGTTTGAAAATTCAATAAGTGACCGATGGAGGCTGGTATTAAGGGCCTGGTTAAAAGCCAGGAAACAAAGGGTAGGAATAAATTATCTGTTTTCAGAATGGAGAGGGGTAAATAGCGGTGTCCTGCAGGGGTGTATACTGGGACCAGTCCTTTTCAACATATTCATAAATGATCTGGAAAAAGGGATAAACAGTGAGGTAGCAAAATCTGCAGATGAAACAAAACTACTCAAGATACTTAAATCCAAACAGACTGTGAAGAGCTACAAAAAGATCTCACAAAATTGGGTGACTGGGCAACAAAATGGCAGATGAAATTCAATGTTGATAAATGCAAAGTGTGGATAGTTCTCTGAAAACATCCACTCAATGTGAAGTGGCAATCAAAAAAGCGAACAGAATATTGGGAATCATTAAGAAAGGGATCGATAATAAGACAGAAAATATCATATTGCCTCTATATAAATCCATGGTAGGCCCACATCTTGAACACTGCATGTAGCTGTGGTCGCCACATCTCAAAAAAAGCTATATTGGAATTGGAAAACATTCAGAAAAGGATAACAAAAATGATTAAAGGTATGGAACGGCTTCCATAAGAGAAGAGATTAATAAGACAGACTTTTCAGCTTGGAAAAGAGACGACTAAGGGGGGATATGATAGAGGTCTATAAAATCATTATTAGTGTGGAGAAAGTAAATAAGGTAGTGTTATTTACTCTTTCTCATAACACAAGAACTAGGGGTCACCAAATGAAATTAATAGGCAGCAGGTTTAAAACAAACAAAAGGAAGTATTTTTTCCACACAGCGCACTGTCAACCTGTGGAACTCTTTGCCAGAGGATGTTGTGAAGGCCAAGACTATAACAGGGTTCAAAAAAGAACCACAAGTTCACGTAGGACAGGTCCATCAATGGCTATTAGCTAGGATGGGCAGGGATGGTGTCCCTAGCCTCTGTTTGCCAGAAGATGGGAGTGGGCGACAGGGTATGAATCACTTAATGATTGCCTGTTCTGTTCATTCCCTCTGAGGCGCCTGGCATTAGCCACTGTCGGCAGACAGGATACTGGGCCAGATGGACCTTTGGTCTGAACCAGTCTGGCCATTCTTATGATAGGCTGTGAAGGGCTTTGAAAGTGAATACAAGTAGCTTGTAATTGATGTAATAGAGGGGGGAGCCTTCAAAGGACTTCAAAGAGATGGCTGACATGATCAAAGCGACAGGCTAGGAAAACTATTTTTGCAGCAGCTTTCTTAATAGTTATGAGTGGAGTAAGACCACATTTTTTTCGAGGCCAGAGAAAAGGATATAAAATGAATGTTTACCTGATGTCCTGTTCTCCTCTGTCTGTTTCAGGTTCAGCTGTTTCTCTCTGCTACTATTTAAAAACTTCCATGCCGGATCAGTCATGGCTTTGTTATTGCTACAGATAAATGGGAGCTGAAGTCAGAGCAGTTATATGAAGTACAGTTTTTTCCTGGTTAATGTTTACACTTTAATTTTTTTTAGATATTTAATTCATATTGGCCTTTGTTATAATTAACTATGAAGTATGTACACCTCATCAGCAAACAAATTTAGCCAACTACACCTCTACCCCATATAACGCTGTCCTCGGGAGCCAAAAAATCTTACTGCGTTATAGGTGAAACCGTGTTATATCGAACTTGCTTTGATCTGCCGGAGTGCGCAGCCCCGCCCCCCCCGGAGCGCTGCTTTACCGCGTTATATCCAAATTCATGTTATATCGGGTCTCGTTATATCGGGGTAGAGGTGTAATTCATTAAATAGGCCTTCTCACTATCACTTCAAACACACTGCCTACATATCTCTGCTGTATTAAATACCATCCTCCTTTGTGCTTTGACCTCTTACAAGTCAAAACTCAAACCCAATAAGACAACTTCTGGCAAAACAAGTGCAAATTACCACCAAAAGGTGAATATCCCACATATTTATTTAGCATCCAACACCATTATAGAAGATGTGTTCGGTTAGTGAAAACAACAAGGAGTCTGGTGGCACCTTAAAGACTACTGATTTATTTGGGCATAAGCTTTCGTGGGTAAAAACCTCACTTCTTCGGATGCATAGAGTGAAAGTTACAGATGCAGGCATTATATACTGACACATGGAGAGCAGGGAGTTACTTTGCAAGTGGAGAACCAGTGTTGACAGGGCCAATTCGATCAGGGTGGATGTAGTCCACTCCCAATAATAGATGAGGAGGTGTCAATTCCAGGAGAGGAAAAGCTGCTTCTGTAATGAGCCAGCCACTCCCAGTCCCTATTCAAGCCCAGATTAATGGTGTTAAATTTGCAAATGAATTTTAGTTCTGCTGTTTCTCTTTGAAGTCTGTTTCTGAAGTTTTTTTGTTCAATGACAGTGACTTTTAAATCTGTAATAGAATGACCAGGGAAACTGAAGTGTTCACTTACTGGCTTTTGTATGTTACCATTCCTGATGTCCGATTTGTGTCCATTTATTCTTTTGCGGAGGGACTGTCCGGTTTGGCCAATGTACATGGCAGAGGGGCATTGCTGGCACATGATGGCATATATAACATTAGTGGATGTGCAGGTGAATGAGCCCTTGATGGTGTGGCTGATGTGGTTGGGTCCTCTGATGGTGTCGCCAGAGTAGATATGGGGACAGAGTAGGCAACGAGGTTTGCTACAGGGATTGGTTCCTGGGTTGGTGTTTCTGTGGTGTGGTGTGTAGTTGCTGGTGAGTATTTGCTTCAGGTTGGGGGGTTGTCTGTAAGCGAGGACTGGCCTGCCTCCCAAGGTCTGTGAGAGTGAGGGATCATTTTCCAGGATAGGTTGTAGATCGTGGATAATGCACTGGAGAGGTTTTAGCTGGGGGCTCTTTGTGATGGCCAGTGGTGTTCTGTTATTGTCCTTGTTGGGCCTGTCCTGTAGTAGTTGATTTCTGGATACCTGTCTTGCTCTGTCAATCTGTTTCCTCACTTCCCCAGGTGGGTATTGTAGTTTTACGAATGCTTGATAAAGATCTTGTAGGTGTTTGTCTCTGTCTGAGGGGTTGGAGCAAATTCGGTTGTATCTTAGGGCTTGGCTGTAGACAATGGATCGTGTGATGTGTCTTGGATGGAAGCTGGAGGCATGTAGGTACGTATAGCGGTCAGTAGGTTTCCGGTATAGGGTGGTGTTTATGTGACCATCACTTATTTGCACTGTAGTGTCCAGGAAGTGGATCTCTTGTGTGGACTGTTCCAGGCTGAGGTTGATGGTGGGGTGGAAACTGTTGAAGTCGAGGTGGAATTCTTCAAGGGCCTCCTTTCCGTGGGTCCATATGATGAAGATGTCATCAATGTAGCGCAAGTAGAGGAGGGGCACTAGGGGACGAGAGCTGAGGAAGCGTTGTTCTAAGTCAGCCATAAAAATGTTGGCATACTGTGGGGCCATGCGGGTACCCATAGCAGTGCCACTGACTTGAAGGTATAAGTTGTCCCCAAATCTGAAGTGGTTGTGGGTGAGGACAAAGTCACAAAGCTCAGCCACCAGGTGTGCTGTGGCCTCATCAGGGATACTGTTCCTGACAGTTTGTAGTCCATCCTCATGTGGAATATTGGTGTAAAGTGCTTCTACATCCATGGTGGCCAGGATGGTGTTTTCAGGAAGAACACCAATGCATTGTAGTTTCCTCAGGAAGTCGGTGGTGTCTCGAAGATAGCTGGGAGTGCTGGTAGCGTAGGGTCTGAGGAGAGAGTCCAAATAGCCAGATAATCCTGCTGTAAGAGTACCAATGCCTGAGGAAATGGGGCGTCCAGGGTTTCCGGGTTTATGGATCTTGGGTAGCAGATAGAATACCCCTGGTCGGAGTTCTGGGGGTGTGTCCATGTAGATTTGTTCCCGTACTGTAGCTGGGAATTTCTTGAGCAGACGGTGTAGTTTCTTTTGGTATTCCTCAGTGGGATCAGAGGATAGTGGCCTGTAGAATATGGTCTTGGAGAGTTGCCTGGCAGCCTCCTGTTCATAATCCGACCTGTTCATTATGACTACAGCACCTCCTTTGTCAGCCCCTTTGATGATAATGTCAAAGTTGTTTCTGAGGCTGTGGATGGCATTGCGTTCTGTACGGCTGAGGTTATGGGACAAGTGATGTTGTTTGTCCACAATTTCAGCCTGTGCACGTCTGCGGAAGCACTCTATGTAGAAGTCCAGTCTGTCATTTCGACCGTCAGGAGGAGTCCACGCAGAGTTCTTCTTCTTGTAGTGTTGGTAGGAGGGTTCCTGCGGGTCAGTCCACTGTTCAGTGGTGCGTTGAAAATATTCCTTGAGTCGGAGATGACGAAAGTAGGCTTCCAGATCACTGCAGAACTGTATCGTGTTCATGGGGATGGTGGGACAGAAACAGAGTCCCCGAGATAGGACAGACTCTTCTGCTGGGCTAAGTGTGTGGTTGGAAAGATTGACAATGTTGTTAGATGAGTTGAGGGTACCACTGTTGTAGCCCCCTGTGGCAGGTAGGAGTTTAGATAGCTTACTATCCTTTTTCCTCTGTAGAGAAGTGAAGTGTGCATTGTAAATGGCTTGTCTCATTTTTGTAAAGTCCAGCCACGTGGAAGTTTGTGTGGAAGGTTGGTATTGTATGAGAGTCTCCAGTTCTGAGAGCTCACTTTTGATCTTCTCCTGTCTGCTGTACAGGATGCTGATCAGGTGGCTCCTCAGTTTCTTTGAGAGTGTGTGGCACAGTGCTAACTTACAAGGCAAACACATTGTCTGTAGATAACATACTACTGCAGAATTAACATACCTATATAGGGCTATACCTCACTCCCTAGTCCTTAACCCTTTCCAAACATATATTACAATGTTATTTTGACAGAGAAAGATCTGTGTATTCTTTTCAACAAGACTCATATTTTAAGAGTAGGTGGGCACATGCAGGAGGAATTTGCGTCAGAACCTATAAAGATCAGCAGTAACTTACGTTGAAGAATCATTCTCTTTGGGATAATCTTCATTCATCTCTGAACCAGAGGGCTGTGTTCTTTTCCTCTTTTCACTAACATAGCACAAGAATAAATCATTTTAAGGAATCATTAATTCAGACGGACAAAGACAAACCTCTTCTTCCACCATGCATGCCTCATGTGCTCTCTATACTTCCTGCTAAACTTTCACAATTTGCAAGTTTAAAATATAAAATATAACGACGACTTTTACACACACAGCTCTTTTAGGTTGTTCCCAGAGCTCATGGACCAGCCATGAGCTGGAAATGTGATTGTTAACACTGTTTTCAAAGCAATACCAAAAAATCATAAAAATGAACTGAAAGGGCTTATACGTACAGTAAATTGTTAAGATTACACATTTGTATAGTGCTAAATTTTGATAACAGCATATTGAAGGAGCTTGATTCATACCGGTTTTCTAGTAAGCCCGTTCTGTGAGGAGTTGATGAAGTGGGAGACACTGAAATGTTAACCCTGTTGCTAGGAGTTCCACTTCCTGGGGAAGTCTTAACAGATGCTCTACTTGGGCTGCCCAGCCCCTTCCGAAATGGATTTTCTTCCTTTCCCTCCACAGTCACTCTTTTGGAAGGAACCTGCAAAATCCAGCAGGGGAAATCCACAATAATCCAAAATGAAAATGACTTTACTGTTATTCTAAATTGGCATTTAAATGTCTCTCCCACAAATGCAGTATCTGAAAACAGGGAAATGCAAAGTTTAAGGACAGTAGAGTTTAATGTTGCACAGATGGAGTAAAGTTGGCATATGTGAAAAGCCATTGTAAAACCACCAGATTGTGGTAATGCATAAATGGAGTATTCATGCAAACTTTATCCTTCTTCCCCTCCCACGCTATCAGCATCATTGATGTTGTTTCTACAGCGCACCAAATTCTTTCCGATACAGACCATGGCTTAGGTCTTCTGAGATGCACCTACTACACCTTTGGGTGCTATAAAATAAAGTGCAATAATATTAAGACAGATATTTTTAAGAACAGTGTCCTGTTGCTTTTGACCAAAATGAACGAAAACAAATGTAATGCCATGGAAAGAGTTGACATAGTTGGCTAATTCTAAGTAATATTGGTAGGTTTCAGGCTTGAGGACTGAATTAGAGGGGCTAACCAGGCTGTACACAGCATTAGTTTTTATTTTAAGACTCTTTAAGCAGCACTGAAAATTTGTTTGGAATAATCTTAAAACAACTTCCGCTTCAGGTTGTAATAAAAGGATTGACTTGGTACTTTCACAGAATTGTTATGTAACTGAAAGCTTTTGAATACAGAGTGAAACTTACAGTAAAGTGACTGATCGAGGCACCATGGCAAAGGGTCCTCTGTTCTTTGCTAACAACTCTCACCTCCAACCTGACAAACTCACTACACCAAACACATCTTACAGGATATTTATCCATAAAGAGTTACATATAAAGCACAGAAAGCTCGTAACATGTCAAGATTAATCTTTGTGAGATGTATGTATGGGTAGTATTTAAGGAATAATGTATTTACACTGAAAGTATGCTTTATGGATTTGGAGAAGAAATTAGTCACGGTCTCAGTGATGGTCCAGTTGGGCAGGGGGGAGTTGTCACCCCGCCCTGTTTGACTAGTGATGCAATGCAAGGCTCAATTGTTTAGACTTGCGCAATACTAAATCTTAGAATAGAAAACCATCTGAGGCAACAAACAAACAATCAAACCCACTCAAAGGTAGCACTTCACAAGACAGGGTGAATCTTTGACTATAAACAAAAGGCTGTTTTCACTATAACAGACAAAGGAGAAGCACTCTGTAGCCACTCACAGAGAAAACCCCCTTGTGGAGCACAGGTGCTTTCAGGAACATTTGGATCCTGGTTCTTGAGAAACTAGGCAGCTCTGCAACAGGCTGTACACTTTGGAGCGGGGAAATCTACTTTATTAGATAGGAAAGGAAACCATTAAGAAGTGTAGATCCAGGGTCATGTTTTATGGATTTTGTTTTATATTATAACCTTTTGTTTCCACCTCTATTTCTAGTTAAATCTTTATTTTTTCTTAAATAAACCTACTTTTGTTTGATTGTAAATGCTCATAAGTACTGTGTGGTTTACAGGAGCAGGGGTTTAAGGTAAAACTGGTAAAGTGGGGTACACTGTACCTTTCAGCACAGAGGATCTGGAATTTCTGTGAGTAGCCAGTGTCAGGGGCTGGCTATCACAGGGCAACAATTCAAAGGGTACTCCTGGGGGGATTCTGCTCCAAAAAATTCAAAATTCTGCAAAGTTTATTTGTCAAAATAATGCAATATAATGACACCAGTTTCAATTGTTCGGGTAATTTATTTAAACTACAATATAGAAAAAAAAGTCACAATAACCATTCAGCATTTCCTAAACACATGAAAGTTAAGTTATAAACACTTGGTAACTAATACCCTGCATTCCAGTTAGAATCCTGGATTGTCATTTAAATCACATTACAGAACACCAAACGGGGGGGGGGGGGGGGGGGGGGGGAGAGTAGAATGTCATTTTAAGTTGCTCAGACTTTCACACATGAAAGTCATACAGTTTTGATAATCACTATCCTGCATTTCAGTGCAATCCAGTATTTTCATTTAAATTATAGTACAGAAAACAAAGAGCCTTCACGTTTTTCTCACTTAGTGATTTCCTTCTGTTAGAAAGGATCAAATTGTACAGTGAAAAACTTCTCTCTGCATCTGCAGAATTTCAGACAGCATTTATGCAATTCAAGGCCAGTTTGGCAATGTCTGAAATTCTCTGTCATTGAAAGCCAAAACACATAGAGGTCTACAAAAATAGGTTGACTCTGAATAGCTTCAAGCACAATCTTTTCCCTGTACAATTTTAGCTTCTGTTCAGATACCTCAGAAAAACCAGGTATTGCTTGAAAGTATTCACAGTGTTCTGGCAGGATATAAACATGATGAGGATCGAATAACCTACAAGCCTTTAGAAAATTTAGACCTGGTTGTCCAAATGACAAATATTTGTCAAGCTTTTCAGATGCTTCATGGAATGCCTCTTTAAAGAGATCTAGATAGGCAAATCTTTTAACAGGAGAAGTTTTCTGTCACCCTAAATTTGAAGAACTCTGGGGTGTTTTCTGAAGGGAGCTCTAGATGTGAACTGAAATATATCTGCAGTTCTTCCAGAAGGTCAAATGCTTTAACTGTGCAAGGCTTCCTGCTCTCAAATGCCAGATTTAAACTGAGACTTTGTTCACATTTCTGTGCTAGAAAAGTGATCTGTTCTTTCAACAATGCATAATTAGTTGGGTCATTCAGCATTTTTTGAATAGTTTGCACAGAAACTGGGGAGCTGCTATTGCACTCTTCATTAAACTCCTTCTAGAACTGAAAATTCTTAGAGTGATACTGGACAGCATGGACCCAGCTGTTCCAGTGTGTTCCACCTGGGCTAGGAGGCATGGATGCTTTTGCATCTGGAGACTCCTCTTGTAGTTTCTGGTTCATGAAACGGAGGTCCTCGCTTTCCTACAATCAGAGTTATAGAACATGTTTTTGAAGCACCTTAAAATGTATCAACCAGCTGAAAAGGCTTTCTAAATGATTCACCAATTAAGTTAACAATATGTGCCAAACAGGATATATGCACAGAATTTGGAAACCGTGTAGAAAACACAGAATCAAATGACATTTTCATGTAAGTGGCATCGTCAGTATCAATTACTACAACACTTTCATAATCAGTCTGGAAGTCACTTACTGCTTTGACTACAGCCTGTGAAACAGTTGTGTGATTAACAGCATCTAAAAACACTGTATCCACCAAAAAACAGTTAACATGCCCACAGCAATCAGGTTGTAATGATGCAAACAGTACATTCAGAATTGAACTTGCCTCATCATCACAACATTCAACAAAGATAACAGTGATTTTCTTGTCTTTAAGCTTCAGTTTTAAGTTCTCCTTTTCTTTGAGGTACACTTCAGGGAAGTATGTCTCAGTCAGTTGTGTCCTACCAGGAACTGCACCACTATTCTGGACCCTGCTGTCAAGAAATTCCCTCACAAGTGGGTGGTCAGTCTTTGACAAGGGGATGTTGGCACCTGCTAGTGTCTTCACCCATGCTGGACAAATCTGAAAGCAGAAGAAGTCTTGAGTGAGCACAAATATTTACCACCCATGTAATACCTTTAATCTTAGATTAATACACTTATTCATATATTTAGTTCTGAATTTCTAGATTTTAATTTAGATTTATAGTATAGTAAATGATCACAGTCACCATTTACAAAAAAGTAGTTTAAAAACAGAGCTGTCTATTCAAGATTTCAGAGCAAGTGGAAAGACCCCATCGCTATGACTGTTCTATGCTACTTATCTTATTTTTCTGTATTATAACATTTTCTTATATTTCCACTCACCTCCACACGTTCTTTCTCTGACGATGTTTTGTATTTCAGCGGACTTGTAATGGTCTTCTGATGTTTATTTCTGCCTTCCTCTTGAGCTGCATCTTCCTTCAGTTTGTGTTTTTTTGATGCAAAATGATCCACAATTACAGACCGTTGGTCATTACTGAGAACAACACTGCACAATGTGCAAAATAATTTGGTCCCATTGCATGCAGTTTTGTGGGGAATTCTTGAGCACGAGAAGCTGGTGTAGCTGTTTTTGATGTGTGATGTGAAGGCCGTTCACGTTGTGCAAAAGAACAAACATCCCTTTGGTAACTTCATGTGGACCTGGCTGGGTACTTTGGAAAGAGTTTGGTTCTGATTGTCCTGACATTTTATTGACTGCTTGTTAAATGTTTTATTTGCCCTCTGTCTTTTTTTTTTTTTAATGGGTAAGTAAAATAAATCCTTAGCTGTAATCTAATCCCATTGTGCCACTTTGGCACAGGAAAAAAGTGAGAAAGCACATAGATCTTCCTTGCTGAGGATTCTCTTACTGTAATTTATAAGACGACTCCTTTACATCACTCTGGTAATGTAGTGGCCTTAAAACTTTCACAGGTTTATGCTCCTGGGGGAATTGACTGAGAATGGGAAGGTTTACTAACAATAGGAACATTAACAATGTTACTACCAGGCAGGCTGCTACATTTCTGCCTCTAGCCTGCCTCTTGCATAATAAAAAGCCCTACCCTTCCACGCCAGCGAGCTGCAGTGGCAAGCAAGAGGGACAGAGTCTCTCTCTCTCACTTGTTGGCATGCACGTATGCCCAGCCCCCCACCCCCATGACGATGATCAACCATGCAGGCGCACACGCCCAGCCCTCCTCCCCCGTCTCTGAGGCTGCTCTAGGCACACTGGAACAGACGCACGGGGGCAGAGGAAAATGCGGGCCATATGAATTCTGTGCCCCCACAGGGGGCAGAATTCTGTCAGGAGTAAAAGGGACTCAGGGATGGGGTGCAGCTACTGTTAAACTGCAAGTTAAAGTTGGCATAGCCCAGAAAAGTGCTTGAATGGCTGAAAGGCTGGTGGTGTCAGGGAGCTGACACCCAGCTACCACAAGACTCTCCTTCAGTGAAGACTGGGGGTAGAGCAAGGTGACTTACAGTCCTGGGTATCCCGAGAACCGTCACAGCGACAAGCAAAGGAGTCAACAAAAAGCGGCCTCAAGAAAGGTGGGTTTCAGTAAAGTAGGTCTGATAATTTTGCCTGAAAGGCTGAAGAGAATCTCACAAAAGATTAAAATCAAACTAATCTGATACCAAAAACTGCTTAACAGATGTTTACTATGCAAAATGTCACTTGCAGCCAAATCTGCCAATTACCATATACCTGAGCTTTGCATTTTTATTTCATCTATCATACTCAACTTCTGACTGTTGCTTTAAGTTTTTATGCTGAAACACGGCACAGAACTATGCTTGGTGCAGATCCTTAAGTATACGTTTTTCTCCTTTACTTCACTTCTCCAGCAGCCTGACTTGCCTATCCAACAAGGAGTAAATGCACCCTTCCAGAGCCAGTCAATGCCGTTCCTGGATCATACAGCAGATTGGAACACACTTTTCCCACTACCCCACCAAGGTCTCAACTAATAGTATATATATCTGAGCCTGTCCTGATTTAGAAGGCTTGGGACACAAACTAGAATCACCTATTGTGCTACTACAATATGCATCATACATACAAAATGAGGGGGGAAGAGAGGAAGTGATTAAAAGGAACTGAGGGAAACGCAAAGATCTGAAGTGTAAACAAACTGTTTAACAAACCTGGTTTTCAATATATGGAAATTGCCTGTTAGCTTCCTTCTGGGTTGTCCTGCTGCCCAGAACACCTCCAAAGCTGCCAGATCCCTGAGACGGTTTCACAGCTGACAATAAATGCACATGCCATTTAGTTTACTTGTAGTTTTATATAGCCTTGCTTTCTTTGTCATAAATCATTTAAGGCTAGATTTTCAAAACATTCACCAGATGTATGTGTAAAAACCAGAATCTATACCTGGCAGATAATACAATATCAGGAGTGCATGTGTTTAAAAAGCAAAGGTTTACAGATTTTCCTCCTACAGTCTGTGTACTTAATGTGCAACAAAACTCAAGTGTTCAGAGAAAGGAGAGGAAACTGTGCATGTCTTTAAAAATGGAAACAATTCCAACACAATTATAAATTAAATACTGTGCATGCCAACCTTGCAGGAAAGTTACATAAACATTAAAATAAAATTGAGTTCAATGGCCCAAAGAAAAGTATTCAACCAAAAGCAATGCAAGGAATAAACAAGCTTTAAGAAAAGGGAAGATGGACAAAATGGTCAAAGGTGAACTGACACAAACTAATTCAGAATCTTATCTTTATCCAACCTGCTAGTAACACAATTTGCATTGTTTTGCACTTACCAGTATGAACCCTGTCATGGAGGACTGCATCCAGATACATCCTCATTTCGTTTGCATCCTTAGATGGTACCTTATCAATAGTCAGGAAGCTGGCATCCTTTAGTGTTAGCATCAGGCAACACAATTTTCCACCATTTGGTCGTAGGACCACAGTTTTAATGTTATGGCTTAGCTGGAAAGAAAGTAAAGGTGACTATAACATAGATCATTGTAAGAAATTAAATTATTTAAGTACTTCCACAATAAAAGAAAAAAGCTCCAAAACCAGTTATGTTGTCCAAGAGTTATAAAGAAAGAAAATGTACTTAAATACAAGTATTTCCCCCTCCTCCATACTGAGTCATCACTAAACAAGACACGAGAAGTCATTCTTC